TACCGTCTAGTCTCCTGTTTTCTTCACACAGGATAGTACTTTCTTATCAACTTCAGAAGGAAGAAACGCAAATGACCGCAACCGAACCGGGGACCTTTAGGTTGTGAGTCCAGCGCTCTACAGACTGAATAACCTTGGTGGTGCGAGTGACTGTGCCAGCAAGATGTACAAATCACATAATGAACAAAAACAGCAAAACTCATTAAGGAAATCACCTTGTACTGAATACCCTGAAAGTGCAGCGGAAATTGACAAACGTAAAGAGCAATACGATAATGATTAGAAATTAAAATCTGAGCAATTAATTAATTGTCAATAAGGTATATTGCTAGTTACCATATGACAGAAGCACAGTTCGTCATGTTCAAGCAAAAAGCGCTTCGTTTAAAACAGGTGCTCTGACCGGCAGCCATGGACTTACCTTGCGGTACTACGTCGCAGCATATATAGCCCGAGTTGAGTTGACGACGATACAGTCACAAGCAAGGTGTCACTCATAAGAAGAAAACACCGAATGTCATTATCAGAGGACTGCTACAACTCTGAGACCAAAAGATCACGTGTTCAACACAATGGTACGTGAAACACGTGTAATTTTTAATGTAATAGAAGCATTTGAAGCAATAACGTGTATGTCGAATGTCAGATTTTCGTTACAAACGCATTTAAATTGCCAGAAAAATCTCGAGGGGGAGGGCAAAATCTGTAGCAATTTCTGAAGTAAGAGTTGCAAATGGTTTCAGCACATGTTTTGGGAATGCCTTTAGAAAGGAAGACTAGGCAATTACTGTTCGCCCAACCAAACGGCAGAAGACACAGGAAACGGCAGCATTTAACTTGGAGAAAGTGTACCCTGCTCTAGTCTCTGGTTGTCTTCTTCCGAAGCTCAAACGCTGGCACAGAAACGGAAACGTTAGAGACACTGTCGGACGCGTCTGTCGAAGCGACCCGAAAGAATAATGGATCGTCTAAACTGAGCAACTTAATGATATTATCAATCAGTTAGAACTTGTCTTGTCTCTTGGCTAGTTCGAGAAACTTTACAAGCTATTCAGTACAGTTTCAGCATTACAAACCACAACTAACAAACAAATCCTCATCGTCAATGGGGTTTACTCATCTACACACCTATCATCGTCATCTTCACCTATAACCCAAATATACACATAGCCATACGCATACTCGCAGGCAGACGGAGTAGGTACAGGAATAAACCCACTCACGAAAAAAACGCACATGTCAAAATCCTTACTTTTCAGAGTTTGCCGGACGACTGGTTTTCGGCTTGTGAAGACAGACTCGATCGAAGGATCGCCACAAAAGATACAGCAAGCCGACGCTGAACGCGGTCAGAGTGTCAAAGAGCTTGCATACGAAGTTGCCATTCGGTCGCAAGATTGACAACGCACAGCACGCCTGGCATATGTACAACCTTCGAGAAAGAATCTCTTGTAGATTTTCTTTGCCCTCAACGGAAAAGCCCTGAAAAAGGAATGGGTAATGCCATGCAGGGTTGAGTAAATCAGTCTGTTTTAAAATGAATGTTCTGAAACAGCAAATACAACAAATAATAATTCAACATTATTGGTATCAACAGCGAAAAACAGTTGGGCGATTTAGCAAATTTTACTGTTTTCATCAATAGTATGAGTACTATTAGAAATTAGAAACTACAGATGTTTGTATTACAACGAATACCGATGTAAACTGGGCTACTTAAATAGCTAATAGCACAAAAGTTCTTTATGAGGGAGCCGATATTATTCCAGATGCTGGAAACAAAAAAGCGCAAACATTTACATCTAAGGACTATTTATAAAACATCGCCTGGGTTTGGTAAGTTTTCAGTACAATATTTTGCAAAAATGGAGCAGGTGTTGCAGTCATAGTTGTTAACAGAACATATGGATAAAACATACTATGAGACCTGGTATCATTACTAATTCGAGTACTGGTAGCTGAGCTAAAACCAATAAAACAGAACAACTACTAGCACAGCAGTGAACAAAATCTGGAAGTGTCTATCCTGTTACTTGTAATAGCTGTAGTCCTGGCAGTAATGTCCCAGTCAGCATTACCAAAATTAGTTTTATCGCCAATAGTACTAAAAATATAAAAAGCAATAGTAGCTGCAAAATACCGCATACCTCCTCAAAAATTCTGGCATCACTGGTACCACTAATCCTAGCAGACCTAATAACATGGGCCGGAACGCCTAGAACTGTTAACAGCACCATTACTATACAGCCTGCATTCGCATGCAGGTTAATTGATAGGACATGCATTCAGCGCTGAAGAGGCTCAAACACCACTGAACCGTAATCTACTTAACAGCCCCAAAGGCAGCGAAGCGAATGTCAGCATTGAAATATACTGTGGAATCTAATTCTGAATGAATAGTGTGCCTACTACTGTTAGGGCTGGCGCAAAAATTGATGATCGTTCATAATATATTAAAGAAACTTGTTCCCATTAATAGTAACATAAGCCGCACCTCTAGGACTATTAGGAGTACTGCTATTAGAACATATGGAACAACTGCTAATTAATAAATATTAGCCCTAATACTCCATGTTTTTGACTTAAACGTAATCCGTTAAATTTAAAATTCGATTATGTCAGACAAAGAAATAATAAATAAAACATGTAACTAAAATGATCCATCAACATCATAAGCCCTGTCGATCCACTGCTGAAAGGAAGCCTCTCGAAGACTCTGCCACAGACTTCTGCCATATTTATATACCCTGATTCAGCGAATACCTCTTCAGTTCATCCTGCCATTCAGCTTGAGGTCCTCATACGGATCGTATCTACTCTTACGAAATTTAGTCTAATGTATCTATGGTATCCAGCGATATTCGGTTCTCTTTGCAATGTGTTCCGCTCATTGTTACTTTAACACCGTCACTTTGGCAATGACATCGTATACTCCTGGATTTGTAATTAAGGAAAGATCGTCCCTCCTCCAGATTCGAATCCGGCAACTTCAGAGTTCAAAGGCAATCTCTTTGTGACTGTGCAACTGCCGCTTCCCTCCAACGGCATTTTAAATAAATTTATTGTAAAAAAAAAAACACTTTAAAACGTTAAGGTAGAATATACCTAATTAAATGGTATACATAACAACCCCGACTGGACATATATTCTCTTTGGGATTCCCCCAGAAAACGTTTACCGTCTGCGGCAAAGATGTTAATGAATTTAAATCCCACAAAAGCAAATGAAAATTAAGCCACATTGCGTTATCGAAACATCCATCAGCAATCATTAGGGACTTCGCCGCTCGAACCGAAGATAAACGTGGATCGAAACACCTTGAAACACAGTGCTGTAATTACTCACTAATACATACGTAGCTATTTTTCTTCGCCGTACACCACATTGCTGATCAGCATCAATCTGTTGTCAGGGGAAACGGAAGCCCGTATATCAGACAAGACTCAGTTTAACAAGCTGTTGGTGTAAAATTCTTGACTGTCTTCCAAAAGATGTATGCCATCGCCCACTTCCTTTTCATCCTCAAGCCAAGGTACTGTTAATCAGTCGAAAGAAAAATGTAATTTGCTTAACTGCCTGCTGAGCAACAGCAGTAACATCGCATAGCGTATGTCAGATATTAAATTCCATTTTAAATTTAAGCTTACACTTGTGCTTATATCTATTCATCTATCACGGGGCTCAAGGCAAACTGCAGTCGTAAACGCATTTATGAGATAGCGTAGTCGTCAAGCCTGATATCTCGTACGCTCTGGCAAGACAATACCAGAACACGATACTGTTCCTATAATTCACAGGTCAATGAATTGCTACGCCTTTCTCGAAGATTGATCGCACCGAAGCATTATCGGGTGTATCATCCCTGCTCATTGGAATTGACAAATAATCAATCAATCGATTTTAATGACCGCTTATCCCTTCGGGACGCCAAAGCAGACACATCATTGCTCCCAACGTTTTTCATCAAATGCCAGAGCCTGAGCTTATGCAGAAGACAACTAGAATATAGAGCAGACTACTTCCATATATTTGCAGCAGGTAAATCTCATCCGTTCCCCAGGCCATCTGCCACTGACTGAGCAAGAAAAATTGTTTCGTCTTCCTTCCTTCTCAAACCGTCGCAAACCCCTAAACCATTTTCTCGAATTGGAGACTAACAGGAACAAATTTACGCGGTACATGGCGCTTGTACCCGGCACCTCTAAAGTGCAAAGCAAACCGTTAACTCAATGCTCCTTTGACTGACCCCAAATTAATGGTTTATTGCAGGTATTGGTGACAGCGGATATCTTATGACAATATAGCCTGATGATGCAAACCGAATCCAAATGCGCAGACTGTCGCGTTTAGAACTATTATATTTCGACTAGAATTATTGGATGAACCTTATTTTAAATGCGATATCATGTTGAACATGACCGACTACATTATGATGCGACAATATTTTCATCTGAAAATTTTTGACATGTCAGTGCAGTGGTCGTAAACAGAAGCATCTGCTGTAACAATAATTTGCGGACTATAAAGTACCGAAATGTTTGCCCTGAACTTCGACTTCATTCAGAAAAGAAGAGTCGGGGTTCGTTCCCTTCAATCCTGAAATTAATACATCACAGATCGTGTCCTACATATACAGAAATCGTGATTAAATTCAAATCATGAATCATGAAACAAAAGATGATCTGGCAGGCAAAAACTGAAACACTTTAACCAGTCAGTTCGACAAACATAAGTATTCTTACACCGTCAGCGGTGACCAACGAAACACCGTTGTGCCCGGCCGTAGCGGTCATTACGAATTGACGAAATGCGCGCAGGTTAGCGCTGCTGGTTATGTCACCATTTCCATCGACACCGCCCTCGCCATAAAATGGCTCGAACAGTTCCGGAGACGAGGCCAAAAACTTTTCTAAGCGAAAGTCGTCTTTGCCCTTCAACGTGAGGCCGAAGCCGTGCGACGGATAACCTTTCCTCCACAGGATGTATTCAGCGAAACCGCCAGGCCCAGCGCATATATCCGCGAAGTAGAACATCTCCCTCTTCAGATGGAAAAGTTCGGTCTGAAATGAAACAGGAATATAAACAAAATTTCTATCTCCTGTTGCGATATGGCTTATCATTTACTGAACCTCGAAAACACCGTTTGGTAAAAGAAGACACCAGTTCACACCAGCCAAGAAACCAGAACATAGCGAGATTCAAATATCTACTCACAAAACGACCGGGCTCTAAAGGAAGTTGCCAAGCATCAATTTTCATCATCTGGAACTGTATGAAGACAAAAAGCCTCGAGGGATCGCGCCTCCAATTCTTTGTTTGCCCGAGCCAACCTTATTTCCGTTTTAATTGCCATTCTACCGGCATACACGTGGAAGCTGCATCAACAAGTGAGAGCATCCCTGACTCATTGCCAGTTCCAGTTGCAGAGCTTGCAAAAACTGCCCATAACTACCTCACCCATCTTCGCTTCAGTCAGTAAGGCGCCCGACTCACATTTAAATGAACGTGGATTCGCCACTTGATTGATTAACACGCCTTTCATTCCTTGCTATTTTATAGAGAATTCCAACTATTTTCTAACGAGACTATACGGTACAGCGGTTGAGGTTACGTTTAAAATAAGATGCTCGTTGCTGATCGCATCGTGACAGAGGAATAATGGGCTGCACCATGAACTTCACA